AAGCTCCCAGGTAGAGGCCTTTAAAGTTTCGAACGCCGTAGGCAGCTGCCCATGGCGTTCTGGGCTCCGCGTCGATGCCTTCGCTGCATCTCGAGGTGGCGAGAGTTTAGGGTAAAGGGTTTAGAGTTTAGGGTTTTGGGATATAAGGGAGTCAATTGTTGAGTCGTTGAGGCTTAGGGTTTTTTTTTGTGGGCCAAGGAAGGCGTGGGACATTTTTCTTTGTTTAGGGCTTGTAAGAGTGGCTCTGAGGCTTTTGAGGGGCTGAGGAATTAAAGGAACCCTCATGCAGAGCGGTCCCCAGTTGTTTCAGGGCCTTTGACTGTCGGCCTGCGAGAATTTCGGGCTTCTAGCGTTAACTATCTATTTTTTAAGTGTTTGCTCGCTTCGGACTGCGGGGAAGTCAACTTGTGGCGCATACCTCCGTTGCTCGACAGTATGATTGGCACTGCTGGTTGTAATTTTGATGGCCGCTGCTTTTGCTGCTATGCTCATACAACATATAGCTGCCCGCTGCTGCCATGTGTTACCATCTTTATGGCCCAAGTCACACCTTTGTCAAGGTCCTTCGACGGGCTCAAGCCTCTTGCCTCAGCCCTAAACCCAAGCATGTTGAGGCTGTTCTCGCCACGAGCCAAAAGTTAGAAATGGCAATCAAAGCAGAGGAAGATGACGCAGCATAGTTCATCTGCGACGACGGCAGGGAACATGTCAGAGCAATGTGATGATCGTTACGATGTGAGTGGGTGGTGATTGAGAGTGTGAAGGTGAGGGCCTTGGGGGCCATGACCATGGCAATGGTGGCGGTGATCCTGATTCGATGCTGCCGAAGGGGAAGATGACGAAGGTTTGTCGATGCACGCTGCTAGTCTTCGAATCAAGCAGAACTGCTTCATCGTTGTGGTTCCGGGCTCTGCACACAGCACAGGACGATGCCCGATCCGTGGCAAGTTCGAGGCCCTGGTTTGTTTGTTTGTTCGCGGACCTCCGGCTTGGGTCAAGAAGTACTGGGGCTGTGGTGCATGTTGCTGTCGGGTTGCAGGTTTGTACTTCTTCGTTGCGACGTTTCAAGTCCGTCCACGCAGTGTTTCCGGTCCTACAGCTGAATTCTTACCAAGCCCAGCATGTGCAGAATCAGTTGGGATCACGCGATCCCGAGAGGTTCTATGTTGAACTCCTTTTCGGGCCTGCCCTGCGGAGCCACTGCAGACAGGAAGCACACAAAACGGAGCCTGTCCACCCGCAGAGCCATGGACAGGGTCAGATCCCTGAAATAACCCTTCCTTCAATTCTACGAGTATTCCTTAAGAAGGGTTCCTTGCAGAAGTAAGGGATGTTGGTGTCCTTGTGCATGGTCCCCATTCGGAGGGATGTCCGGTACATGTGCAGCAGACGGTTCTTCTCATGTCGTTTCAAGAATTGGGCTTCTAGCATTTTATAAAGAACTGGGCTTGTAGTGTGGTTTTAAAAAACTACCTAAGCCCCAAAAGTATGTAGAACAACAGCCTTTTAGTGGTACTGGGCCATTATTTTACCTACTTTTGCGCGGCTTCAGGTACCAGTGTTTTGGAGTTCGAGCCTCAAACTGGCTTCAGGTTGCAGTCGGTCTGCAACCTGAAGGGGCCAACTCCGCGAACCCGAGATCTCCACCTGCATAGCCCGGAACACGAATTTCGGCGCATTCCGCCCAGAAGACACTGCACCCTTGATCCCTTGAAAAATTCTGGCAAACCCATATCCACTAGATCGTGAATTACGCCCCTCGACACTCAAACCACAAGTCACCGGGAAAGAAGCTGTGCGAGAGGTTACCTGTGGGAGGGACCTGTTCCTAAAGACAGCAGAACAGAATCTGTGAAGCCTGAATGCGGCGTCGGCTTAAAGGAATTGTTGTGAATCCTACCAACCGATAGCTAAGACTTCTAACACGGTTTTGCAGAGTTGAGGGTTGAGGGTAGTGGAGTAGGGTTTAGGGTTTGGGGTTTAGGGTTTAGGGAAAAGGGTTGGAGAGAGCTCCTGCTAGGCGATCTGTGCCTTCGCAGCGAAGTGGCGCCCAGGCACGGCAGAAGTGTGAGTGCCTGCAGTTGGGTTCAGGCTTTAAGGGTTTGAGGCGAAGACCTATTTGGGAGCTTCCCAAATTTAGGGGTACCTTATTTTGGGGTCCTTATAATCAGGATCCTGCTATTCTAGCGTAGGATATTTGGGTCCCTCATGTTCGGAAACTCCCATGTCAGTTGCAAGATCTTTGTAGCATAGCAATCGCTTCAGGGCCTTCATGGGTCAGGCTCCGTCTGCCCCTGTCGGCTTAAGCTGCGATGCGCAGGGTCTGAACCGTCGGTGACTGTAGTCGTGTCTGTTTGAGTTTTTGGTCGCAGCTGTGCGGATACGCCGTTTTTGAGTTCGCTTGACGGCTGCATGCCACCGGGGGCCCGAGGCCCTACGAGTAGCTGGACACCCGAAGCTCCAACAGGAGTTCTGACAAGCATCTGTGGAGAATAGCGTGCCTTTTACCTACTCTGGATTGCTGCCTGCTGCTGTGCCTCAGCTTGTTGCACCGAGGCAGTCCCAACCTTTGTTTCCCTCGAAGAGGGAAACAAAGTGATGTAGTGGTCGAAGCATCTGGTGTCCTTAAACTCCACCTCTACTGTAGTTGGTGTATAAGAAATGTAGTAGGCTGTTGGACCCTTATGGAGCCCTTTAAAACGGAACCCTTATAGTAACCCAACAAGGTACCCCGAAGTATCGTAGGAATGTAGCGAGGTCTATGCCGTCCACGGCTGAGGGGCCGCGAAGAAATGCATGATCTTGCCCTGGGCAGAGCACCAAAAGCACCAAAGAGCTTCGAATACAGGGGCCTTGATAATTAGAATAGGTTTTGGGGTATATTATACTATAATTATGTATAACAATGAGCCCCCAAAGTAGTATGCGTAATTATTCAGACCGCCAAAGTAGTCGATGCAGCCCACTCCAGGAGCACAGAGTGACTGTTCCCCGAACTCTAAGCCCGAGGTGGTGCTTGTTTGTTGCTTCGATGACCATCTCACATGAGCCGGCGCAAATGCTCGCCGAAGATGAAGTGTTGCATACACGTTTATTCGCGACATATGTGCATGAGCGTATACATGTTGTACAGAAAGTTCGTTAACACAAGCAGACGTACATACACACACCTACATATCTGCAACAGAATACGACGAAACATAGACAACAAACAGCAAACAGCTGACTGAATCATGTGCACGACATGCTTGAAGTATGACTATGCCTGTTCTGTTTCCATAACCCTAATCTAAGTATTAAGGCCCCCTATGTCATATCTTCATAATATCCCTTATAGTAGCCCTTATAGTCCCGATTTGTTTACTAATGGAGTGAACGGATGCGGGAAATCTTCGAAGGCTTATTGGGGTGCAGGGCTTTGGTTCTGAAGACTCTTTAGCGCCAGAACAGACAGGACCCCCCAAGTGCCCTTCAATGGAGCCCTTATGGTCCTTAATAGAGTGGGTATTTACGGTATGTTAGAGGGTAGTTGGGGGGTCTAGGAGAGGTCGCCAGCTTTGATTCCCTAAAACACCTAAACCCATCTACCCTATGTTTCCCTTGCATGATCAATACCAGTTTCACCGGTGTAGGAAGAGACCGAAGCACGGAAAACAGATCCCTTGGATTCCACACTCCACACTTCTAAAGACCTGCTGGGCGAGTTTAAGCTTGATTAATAGCTCCCCAATATAAAACCCTGATAAACAAAAATCAAACCCCTAGAAGACACCATTCTCATTCCTACGGGTCCCTACCAAGAGTACCCTCTTACAGAACCCTATAGTACCCTTTAAAGAGTAACGACCCTATAGTACACTTATGGGAGACCCTGACCTGTGCTTCTGTGTCCTGGAATGTTTCACTCGAGGCCTCAGTTGGGCTTCCCACTTTGCCTCTCCCTGCTCGCAAAGATTCTCCTGGGGTCATGAGGGTTTACTACCTGAAGCCCCAAAAGTAGGTAAAATAGTGGCCCAATACCACGGGGCTTGGGTAGGGTCTAACTTACGGGTTTACGGTGTATAGGGGGGTGGTCATGAGGGTCGAATTTGGGGGTTTAGGCCTGATGGGATTGAATCGGGTCCAATGGGAGTTTCCGAAAATAGGGGACCCTGATGTAGTACCCCCCGGATTTTCGGGCCCAGGCCCTGCCCGTCCCACGCCCCCGAACGCTGGAACACTGCCAACAAGAAGCCACAACAACCGCAACAACAACCGACGACAGCAGCAACAGCAACATCAACATCAACAGCAACACCACCACCACCACCACCACCACAACCACCACAACCACCGCCACCGCTACCAGCACCACAACTCCACCGACAACACCAACACCAGCACCAACAGCAACAGCAACAACAACAACAAAAATAAACAGAGACACAGCAGCAACAGCAACAACAAAAGCAACACCAGCACCTGCAGCAGCAACAACAACAAGAACAATAGCATGGCATAGCAAGAACAAGACCAAGACGAAGAGCAACAACAAGAACAACAACTTGAACGCAGACCATAGCAACAAACAGGACAACACGAAGAACAACACAACACATTCAAACAAACAACAGCATCAGCAACAGCATAGGCATCGGCAGCAGCAGCCGCATCAGCACCAACATCGGCACCAGCACCAGCTGCAACAACAACAGCAGCAGCTACAACAACAGCATGAGGGTCCTTTTCAATGCTTACACACGTGCCCCATTCTTCAGAGCTTTAGGGTTTCCACTGTTCGTTCCCTTACCGTGAAGTGTTCTGAAAAGTGGCTACATTCATAAGTGTACAATGCGATTCGAGAGATTAGCAGCCGAGTTCACTCATTTCATCATGTTATTGTGCATGTGAGGCAGTCTCTTTTAGCGTCTTGTGCAGTTCTCCTGGTATTGGGCCTATTGGACACAATCTCTTAGTCCCATTTGGCAGACTACCCAAACCTTGCCTCTGAACTGCTCAAGGCCTGAATACAAACCAGCGGCGAAAGGAGCCGGGGGCCCCTGATGGAATTGAAGCTTTACCCTAGCCCTGAATAACCTACCTTGTTAGGGTTCCCTATTATGAGTTCTTCATAAAAGTCCTCAAGCAGGTAGGTTATTCCGGGTTAAGGTAGAGTTCAGGAGCTAGTTGGACACATCGCCTCTTTACCTGCACATGCTGGTCACCATGTGCTCCAAAGGCTTCGGAAGGTTCGTCGTTTCTGGCCTGTCTTTGTGCGCATGTGCCACTTGTCTTTGCTTTCATTCGTGAGTGTGTGAGTCTGAGTGTTTCTGGGTTTATGTGTGTGTATATGTATATGTATATACATATATATATATATAACCATATAGCTCACCCCCCCCGTTGACAGACCATGCCCTTGTGATAGTGTACTCTCGTTCGGTGACTAGGCTGAGATATTGTATCTAAACACACCACACATGACGACAATCTGTAAAGCAAATCCATTACAGTACATATACCAAGTATACTTTTAACATGCCATGTACTGAGGACGCATGGACCAGACGCGCGACACGTGAGTTATGAGTTTTGTGGTAGCATTGATATAGGATGAATATGAGTATTAATACTGGTATTCGTATTAGTATCAACAATAGTATTAGTGTTTTCTGTAAGTATATATATATATGTATATACCGACAGTAGCAAGTATACATTAATGTTAGTGCTCATCGTCGTTTTAGTCTTAGTGTTAGTGCCAGTGTCAATGCCAGTAACAGTACCACTGCTAGTATTAGTGTCAGTCTTCATGTTGGGTTTAATACCAGTTAATAATGGCAGAGGTGCTAGTATTGGTATCAAGATTAGAGTTAGTTTCGATATGTTACTATTCTGATAGTTTCGTATATCAGCAGGTTAGTATATCAATACATTGATGTGTTCGAGAGGCAACATATTTGCATACTTGCATATTCGTAGATTTAATACTTTAGTTCAACTGATGCATGAGTAAACTAGTGGATTGCTGTATTAATGTATTAGTATATTAACATACCAGTATATTCGTACATTAGTGTACTAGTATACTAGTATATGCAATATACGTGTATTGTCTAATGATTTATAATAAGTATATCAGTATGTTGTCATATTAGTACACTAACCTGCCGTGTCGGTATACTTGCATATTACAGTAGTCGTATACTAGTATAGTAGCATACTAGTATAATAGCATACTGGTATAGTATATTCACACATTGACAAGTAGTGTATTGCTACATTGGTATATGGGTATATGCTTGTCCTAAAACATCAGTACATGAAAGCATTGATACATATCGGCAAAAATGATAAATGGTATGTGTTCTGGTGTGCATTAGCATATACACGTGTCTTTTGTAATGGTATTAGTCTTCACATCAAAATGAATATGACTATTGGTATTTGTAGGAGTATTAATGTTAATATTCGTATTAGGATTATCCGTAGTCGCATTAGCCTTAGTATAAGTGTTAATAATGGTATTAATACTGGCATTATCTTGAATATTCAACAAGTTATCAATGTCAGTATTAGTATTGGTGACAACATTACTGTTAACAGCATAAGAGTATACGCAGTAGTATCCGTAGGAGTATCAATACTTATGTAAATCTTGGTGTTAGTATAAACAGTGTGATTGGTATTAGTAATAGTGCTAGTGCTAATGCTAATATTAAAATGAGGTTATGTATTCGTGAACGTTTGTCTTATATTAGTATTACTCCTGATTACATGAGAATACTAACAGATAAATACATGCATGAGCTAATGTATTTGTACTTTAATATAGTGGTATGTATATTTATGTACATTGGTATATGCAGGTGTGTATTAGTATTGGTATGAAAATACACTACTACCAATATGGGCATAATTATTGATATGCGTAGGAGTATGAATGTCAGTATTAATCATTATTAGTATTTGTATGGTGCCTATTCGTATTGGCTTAAAAGTGTAAATATTAGCGTTAATGCTGGTATTAGCTTGGGCAGTCAGCAAATGATCAATGTCAGCATTAGTATTGGTAATAGTATTCGTAGGAGTACCATTAAAAAACAAATATATATATATATATATATACACACACTGACAATCGTCTAAACAGACCTTGCCTTTGCAAGTGAGTCGTAGTGCATGGTCTGTCATCCGATGGGTCACAATCAGCCCATTGAAAGTCAATTCCAAAATTTCCGAAATTTCAAAAATTTCCAAGATTTCCAAAATTGCCGAAATTTCCAAAATTCTCTCCCCTAACTTTCCGGATTTCCAAAATTTCCAAAACGGCCCGACCTAGTCGACAGGATTTTTCCAAAACATAAGGGCGGACTTTTTGGAAATTTCGGAAATTTTGGAAATTGTGGAAATCCGTAAAGCTAGGGGAGAGAATTGCGGTAATTTTGGAATTGAGTTTTTGAAATCTGAGTGCCCCCTCCCCCCGATCACAGACCATGCATTACGACTGAGTTGAAAGGGAATGGTCTGTCAACGGGGGGGGGTGACCATATATATATATATGTGTGTGTGTGTGCGTATGGGTCTCGGGAACATGTAGAAGTGCACATGCTTACGTGTGTAGTGATATGTAGTCAAGCTCTGCACTCATTTCACAATGTATTTGTGTACATGTGCATGTTACGTGAGGAAAGCCATGCAAAACCCATGCGCTCACTGATTTGGGGCTATACCCCACGCCCTTCAAGCCTTTGCAACCCCGAAGAATTTAAACTCATCCTCAAAAATTAAACCTTGAAACCCCAAGACCTATAGTTCATGTTTTTTTGCCCTGGACGGTAAGACGTAAATCGAAACCCTCGGAAAGCCTAATACTAAATCCTCTTGCGAGACGTTTTAGCCTTGGACCCTAAACCCCCCTTTGCATCCTAAAGCCTGCGAGGCTGCAGCGGATAGATCTGGAGAACCAGCGCCTCTTGAAGCGTCTCGAGAGCCAGAAGTCGGCTGCCCGGGGTGGTTTTCAGGTGTTTCGAAGGAGGGCGATGAGGGTTTCAAAAAAGTTTCGTAGGGTCTTTCATACGGTTGTTCCAGGGTTCTACCCTTCTCCAAACTCCTAAAAAAAGCGTAAAGCCCACAGCCCGAACACCATTAGAACTACGACCTGCGTAGAACTTTGTAAAAAGACCACCAAATCTCCCTGAGGTCGACCTACTCTCGGCGTGACCAAAAAAGCAGCTACGAACAGAGCCGGCGCCACGCCCGTCTGGCACGCGCCAGGGGCCGAGCGAAGATCTGCCAAGCGACCTGCAGAAGATGCGCGAATTGCTCCTTCCACTCCTCTTACAATCTTGGTACTGATAGAACCTTCTTGTTAATGTGGATACCCAAGCTTGGTTGCTGATAGAGCCTAACTGTTCAGGAGTATATCCCTTGGATAGTCGTGAAGGTATTTTTGGAAGACCCCCTGGCCGTTCCTGCTCTGATGGGTTTCCCTAAAGCCCCAGGCCCTAGACCTGAACAAGCTGCTGGAAGCCGGAAACCCCTCAAATCCAACAAGCTTGTCGCGTCGACGCTAAAAAGATGTGTAAAAAAGACAAAGAATTTCTGAAGAATTACCGCGTGTTGCTATGAAGTTGATGCATCCTTGACGTCACGAAGACCGAAGAACGACACTCCGAAGTTCCTGAATCACCAAAAATCCGAACCCCGATCCCTGAGTAGGCAGAAGACCCCAGAAGGAAATGGCTACAGATCACAGTGCCCTGCTCTTGAAAAAATGGGCCGACGCTCTTAGCTCGCTTCTCCTTCAGCTTGGATACCCTACGTGCGCTGAAACTGTCAAGCAGCCCTGAGATGCCCTGAGCCCCGACTTTCGGTTTCGTGCCTAAGGCTCATCGGAGCAACTCACCCCGCTCCCTGCCGGAGGCTAAGTTTCCGGGTCGTCTTATAGTAGACTGCAATATCGCATACTCTAATACACACTGTTTATGTCCGATTGTAACCTACTTTGTTTTGAAGTTCTGCTGAAGCATTGCTGAAGCATCTCACCCTCACCGAAGGGCCTCAGCTGCCGCGGAAGGGGTTGAGTTTGAGTATTTCTGGTATGGCTAAGCCGTGGTTTGGCGTTGTTGCTTCGCTTGCTGCACCGGCTGCTGTCGCTGGCGCCATGGTTGCTGCGGAGATCCTGACTGCTGCCTCTGCCAGTCTTTCCAAGGGGTCCGACAAGTCATAGTCACAATGTGAGCCCTTGCGCTGAAGCTGCGATTTGTATGTACATGATAGGGATGACACCATCGCCAGCGGCATCACGATCGGTTACCTCGAAGTACTTTGTTTTGGCCAGGTTCTCCAACTGCTGCTTGCTAGGACTACTACTTTCTTCCATAGCTTTCCCTCTGATACTGCTTCTCTCAAACCCCACATCGCAGATTTAACCCTAAAACCCTTAAACCCTGGGACACCCGGTGACCCAAAGCTTGGGGCGTTCATGGGTTCAAGCAGCCTAAAGTTCAAGAGATAAAGATCAGGCGCGTGTGCCAAAAAGCGGCTTTCCCCTAGTATACCACGCAAAGACGCATCATTCTCGTAATGAAGTGTTTTACAATTTAACTTAAACCTTAAATGTTGAATTTAAAACCTCTTCGCCATCTTCGAAGTTGTAGGTTCAAGGGGCTCTCAGCCCCTACGCCCTTGACCCAAAGACTTACCTGTACTTGCACACCAGTGCAGTGGATATGTTCCCTCTCAACCAATCAAGGGACTGGCAGACACGTGCACTCCCATCCTTGCCTGTCCCAATCGCGCCATGACAGTGGACTCCGCCGCTTTGCTGACACCTGCCAGCCTCCCTCGCAAGCACAGCCAGACTAGTGAGGATTGTCTGAACGCGGGGCAGATCGGACGTTATGGAGATGCACACGTGGGGAGCACGGACGTGTCAAGATGTATCCTCAACGTCTTGCTCGCAGTTCTGGGGGCAGGGCAGCTGACACTGCCCTATGCCATACACAAGTTGGGCGGTCTTTGGCAGGGTGCGATCTCCTTGGTCTTGTTCACCTTGCTCTCAATGCACCCTTTGTCCTAGTTGGGTAACATTTTACATATTCTTACAGGTATTTAACTTAAACCCAAAACGTAATGCAGATCACATTTTTCATCTACCCCAACCATGAACTAGGCACTCCTTGAAAACGCTCTCCTTCTACGAGCTGCACTTCACTCCAGAAGGCTGTCTCGAGTCCTACTCTCAACTCGTGATCCGGGTCTTGGGAGGCTCCTTAGGGGTACCTAGAAATATTTTTTATTTTTGGTTATTATAATCCCGAAGAAACAGCTAAAATTACAATTTTTGCTAGGGTTCTAAGTTCAGTATAGGCTCCGGCTCGCTTCTTTGTCAGTTTCTGCTTGTCTTCTATGCCTGGGGTGGCGCGGTGGCCTTCTTGGTGATCTTGAAGGCAGAGTTCGTCGCCTTCTTTCCTTCCTACGGAAGAGCAGTTCTCTGCGGCATCGCCTGTTTTCTCTGGCGCTTGAGTTCCTGCGAAGATCTAACATTTCTGAAGAAGTTCTCCTGGCTTGGATGTGTGGTTGCTGTCCTGATCACGGTCGTCACGGTCTTTGTGTCTCCACCTGACTTGACGGAGCAAGGCTTGCAGCTTTGCAGCTCATCCCACGAGCCCAGTCTTCTTGATGTAGCGGCAGCACTTCCGCTTATTTCTTTCTCCCTGAATTCAAGTTGGGCCTACATCCCCGTGTTGTGCACATTGTCAGACAAAAGCCACACAACTAGCCTCATCATCTGGAGCAACCTCCTGATCCTCTTGAACTACATGACGCTGGCGGCCAGTGGATATTGCCGGTTCGGTAAGGATGTCAAGCCGAATATTATGGACTCCTTGGGCCAGGACCACTACCGTAGACACCTTCAACCCTAAACCCTAAACTCCACTTTAAAAAGGCCCTAAACCCTAAACTCCACTTTCAAAAAGCCCTAAACCCTTGTGGACTCTTGCGAGTCGAAAAAGGGCCGTTCAAAAAAACAAAAACCTTGTGGACTCCTTGCAATGAGCCAGGACTACGCCGACTCATGGATGGTCCGCGGCGCGAAGGTTGCTTTGTGTTTGCAGCTCAGCCTGGCCCTGCCCCTTCGATTCTAGGTAGGCCTTTGGGACATTTTACATTTTTCCCTTATTGGGCGTAATAGGATCCTATTCACGAATATTTTTCAGAGGCTTTAAAGGGCCAACCTAGGATTTTTCGTGGCTCGGAAGACCATTCAAGATGCACGCCAATCTCTTGCAGCTTTGCCACAGTTGGATAGCATTTTACATCTTTATGGATACTCGGGCCCGAGAAGGAATAGACTGTCTAATTTTTGAATACTATCCCGACCATGAACTAGGCAGGCTCCAACTCAAGTCTGGCATTGATCTTGGTCTTCGGGGCCACCGCCGCAGCGCTGCCAGATATTTCTCTGGCCACAGTTCTAGGCATTGTGTCCGGAATATGTGCGAGCATGATCATCTACATCTTGCCGCTGGGTTCTTGTTAAGGGATTATTAAATTAAAGTTACCAAAATATTGAAGCCGTATTTTGGTACTATAGATCCCTATTATATAGTAGCTTAAGCTACATTCTTCGGCGAAACCCAGAGACTTACTTAGGGAATATACCTTAAACATCCTTAAACCATATTAAGGATCCTACCATAATTGAAGGTATATTCCTTAATTAAGGGATATGAGAAGCCCCTAAACCCTATAGATCCCTTATAGATCCCTTAAAGGAACCCTAACACTAGGTATATTCCTTAATTAAGGGATATTCGAGTCTCTAGCAAAAACCCAAGGCCGGCGATCGTCGACTTGAGGCTTCGTCCAAACATCAGCGGCTCGAGGCTTTCTGGAACGGATCTGGCGAACCTCCTGGTTTCTTTGTCATAAAGGGAAACTCCAGAAAGTTGGAATATGGTTTCAGGGTAGGGTACCCTATAATTTACCATAAAGGGTTTAGGATAATCATATTCCAACTTTCTGGCTTTTACTTTAGTTGGGTAAGATTTTGCATGTTGATGGGTACTAATTGTTAATCCTATCCCAACCATGAGCTAGGTTTCGCTGTTGAGCTTGCTCGTTGGCATTTTGATTCTTCTTGGGAGCCTCTGGGCTAATGCTATGGGCGTGGCAGTGGGAAGTTGAAGAGTCTTGGCCGCTCTTCCTTTGTTATAGTTGAGTAACATTTTGCATTTTTGTGGGTACTTAAACCCAATAAGGAATAACAAAATAAATTTTTAATCCTATCCCAACCATGAACTAGCTTCGGTGGCTGCCACGCCAGATTTTCCGCAGGAGGTGAAGCCCGTTTCGGCGAGAAGGTGCAGTGAGCAAGTGTGCCAAGCCGGTGACGATCGAGAAGTAGACCTGCTGAGTTTGGGCAGCTTACATGGCAGTTCTTACGTGTCTGTATGCGCTCTTGATTTTCAACCGAGAGGGACGTTCTTCTGTGAATGCCGTGGTATACGTTGAGGAAGCTTATGCTGAGTTGCATACTTCAAAGCGAGACCCATTGTGTCAAGTAAGCTCCCAGCCAGTTTCCGCGGAGACTTTCCCTTTTGGCAGAATGAGAGTACGCCAGAGGCACAAGTGGACGTTCCACACCTCCACGTTCATTGGGGAATCGTGCATTTCCTGTCCTTTCACTCCTGATGCCAACTCATACAGGCGAAGGCATAAGCACCCCAAGCGCTACTGTCTCAGCATCATACCAAGAGAGGCAACTGACAATGGCAAACAAGAAGCTTGTCCGAAGAATCGACAACCGAGTACTTGCAGTGGCGATGTATCTTGAGCGAGCTGGTCATTAACTTGGGCAGTTTACTGGCTCTCGTGTGGCTACGTCTGTAGTTCTGCCTTGGCGGGTGAGGGCGAGAGGGGCCTGAGAGGTAAAGGGGATCGTTCTTTGATTAAGCCTTACTGGCTTATTGTCTTGGGGGGTAGGGTTTAGGCTTACACTGAGGTTGTGCAGGTTTCGTGCTTCAACAGACCCATCTGCCAATTCAAGTGCTTCCTTCAGCTGGCCGCGACAGCAAGAACATCACGCTAGTTCGAAGGTGAGAGCTCAAAGTTGGATATCGACACCAATGTGTGTGTGTATATATATATATAGAGAGAGATATAATTCCGAGCCCGCCCACCTCAAAGTTGGATGAAATCATTCCGAGTCCCAGGCCCCCGTTGCCTTCTCGCAGGCTGGACCGGGGATGCCAGAGATTTGCATTTCTCCTTTACTTGGCCCCCAGCTCTTTACATGGGTTTAGGGTGGGAAAAGAGCTGATGGTAACGCTCTAGGAAGCCACATTCTCACCGTATCGGCCATTGTCCAGTATGGCGTTCAATGAAGGAAAA